GCCTCACGTGCCTGCGACGCGCCTGCACACACAGAGCAAGCTCCCTTCTCTCTTTTCCCCCAGTTGCTTATTCTCTGCGTGCTGCAGAGTGATGCGCTTCGTTCCTAGGCTGCGCATTCAACAGTGTCAAGGGTCAGCATTCATGTTTGCAAGAGAACGGTGTCGACTACGTGCCTTCAAATAACGGTACTAGTACGGAAAGTGAAGCCCAACACCGGTAGTCACCCTGGTTGGTTGACACGCGTCTTGAAGGTGGCTCGATCTGTTAAACAGGCGTGTCAGGACGGGGTTAATCATGCGAGTGAAGCATCCCTGCGCAAGTCACCCAATCACCCAAAGGTTGACTCTATACGATACCATTCTCTCTCATTCTATTCTCACTCACCGTGTCTGTGTATGTACGCTCTAGTATTATTATTTCTTGGTTCGAGCCAACCACTCGACCCGTTGCATCTATTCCGATGGTGCAGGAAGTATACTGCTATGGTATTTTAATCATACACGTTGCCATCTAGACTCGGATATATTTCTGTGTTGCTGGTTTGTGTACACACCTCTCTTTGGCCATGCAGAAGATGCCAGTAACAAAAGAACAATATATGTGAGTTTCACGCCTTTGGCAGATAGCTCTGCCAGCAACGCATCTGTTCAACTAGACAAATACTAGATACATCTAAGTGTGTGCATTGCAAGACCAGACCAGCTAGTTATTGACCGATGTGTTGAGTGCCAAAGTGCATTTCACTGCTAGCTGCAGTGAGCATGCGAACAAGCATGTGCTGAGTCTGTGGGTTCAGCCCGACCCTGCCACCTGATGAGTCTTTCCAGATGAAACGGAGGTCACCGTAGCAGCTATACTTTTCCCTAGATTACTCATTTGCCTCACCACGCTCAGAAGCTCACTTCGCTTGCATGCTTGACTTTGGGTGGAATAGCTTCTTACTTGGATATCAGCAGCAAGGAACTCGGAACCACGTTGGATGAAGCCGCTGGGCTCGTCACGCTTTCCCTCTGAGTTTAGAGGTAGGGGATGGCTGTCGATATATACCGGCATGTGAGATGCAGCATGGTCCTGCCTCGCGGTACATGAAACGTCAAGGGATGGCAAATACATCTCAGCCAATTGGAATGGTATAGGTTCCATGTCATGAAAGCCGTCACCATCTCGGTACATAAACAAGCTGCTGACATTGTAGAGCGATGGCTGCGTACCATGCGAGCCAACGTTTTTGCCTCCATAGGACGACCACTTCAGGACTTTCCTGATGTTATGCAAGCTTCAAAGGCTTTCAATTACCTCCACGACCACACTAGCATCCCTTTACTTGTATAGCTTCTGTATATCTTTGCGTAACATGTCTGTATGTGCGCACTGTCATCATGAAGGGACGGAGTTCAGATGTAACATCTGCAAGTAAGCAGAATATTGTATGAGTATATCCGCATTGCTGTCCACAAGTGCCCCTCTGATTGTCTATATAAGACCGCCGGGATCCATGTTGCCGACACGTCTTGTTGTGCAGGCCAAAATAACAATGGGCTGGGTATCCATGAATGTACATATTGATTCTCCTCATAATCAACCCCTGACCCCGACCTCGGAAAGAGCCCTTCACGGTAAGCTTGATGATCTCCTCGGCTATGAAGAGGAGTCCGTACTTTTAGCAGTTTCTAAGAATGGTGTGTGTGTGAAATATATAGTGTCACATGCTTATGTACAAAAAGTTGTCATCAAGCATGAAGGCTGCAAGAAGCTTAACGACGTACATAGTGGAATTGCTGGCCGCGTATCGCATTCACCTACACACAATCGGAATAGACACTGTGCCCTTGCCAGAGCATTTCCGGTTGTTATTTGAGGATTATCTATCCGATTCTCATATGCCGGTATGGCCGATCGCCAGTTTGCAAACACACTCTCCCTTCTTTCATTGCTGTGTATAGCTAGATCATCCCTGCCGGGTACCTTCATCTAAAGTACAATGTACATTTCCAACTCCTTCACATACTGTATGTCAAGGCAGTGCCGTCCGGCCAATGTTTTTCTAAGCCCTTCGTTGGCTGGACCAATGACGAACAGGGAGATGCAGTTGCCTCCATGGGACGCCATCTTGCTGAGCGAGTGGACTGTATTCTCCGTGATTGTAAAGCCGTTGATGATGATCCAAGTCCGCAATGCTTGAGTTCTTTCTTGGGCTCCGGCCAGTGTCTGAAGTAGGTCCTCCACCCGCTCAATCTCTCCCATCAGCCTGAGGGTGATGGACTCTTCCATAGCAGCCAGCGCTTGCGGCGGGTTGTGCTCAGACTCACTCTTACGGCCCCACAGCTTCATGTACAGATGCTTGCTCACGGGCAGAGCACCGATGGCGGAAAGAACGCCAGCCATGGCAGCCTCTTTAATGACAATCCATTGGTTGTGGACACATTGCAAGCTCAAGGTCAAGCCGGCGCGGCAGTCGTGAATGTCCGGTCTCCCTCCCAAGCTCAAGAGCAAGAAGTAGGTGGCTTCGGTCTCGGTCTCAATGTCAAGAACGTGCAAAGGCTGGTAGTCGTTCAAGGAGAGGAGCAAAATGAGAGCTCACCCATCTGTACGGCTAAGTCTGCCGCAAATCTGGCGGCTCGCCCATGGCAAGCTCCAGCAATGCACAGGTTCGTGAGAGCGGGGAGAACCAGTTGTGATAAGGCAAAAAGGCAAAATAGGTCTGTGGAGGAGAGGAACCGTGTCATCCTACGGAGCAGTGGGAGGTTCAAACAAGCTGAGGCCACCTCTGCCTAATCCTGAGTGTGTTGGATGTTCTCGACCTCCAGATGTAGGACACTGAGCCTCTCGAGCCTGCAAATGACACAGATCGTGTCCTTTGTGAGAGTCCTTACGCCATGGATATGTAGCTCGGAGATCTGAGCACATAGAGGGGAAGGGGGCCTTTGCATGTGGCCCAAACAAGCCAGCCTGAGGCTAGGTGATGTTGAATTCTGGCTCTCTGTTCTGATTTCTTTCGTTTCGTGTTTGTGATTCGC